TTCAGTTTATCATTTTCATAGCCATATCTTTTAATTTTGTTTTTATCATCAAAAATAATTATTAAGTACTTTTTTTTATTCTTTAACTTTTTTACAAACATTTGAAAAACTTTTATTTCGACATCAGATGTGAATACAACATAAATGATTTATATACTCCTTTCTATTATTTTCATTAATAACACACTATTCATAAATCTAAAATAAATAAAATGTTTTTTAAAAATTTCTTTTTATACTCTTTGTTTTTATTAAATAAAATATTAATGATAAATATCTTCCAAAAACTTGCTTAGAACAAATCACCAAATCCTCCAAAATCTTCTTCTTCCTCTTCTTCTTTAGCAGCTGGGGCTTCTTCTTTCTTTTCTTCAGTCTTAGTTTCAGTAGCAACAGCAGTAGCAGCAGCGGCAGTCATGTTGTTGAAGATCTTTTCAGCCAATGGGAATACAACACCACTCTCTTTTGAGAATCCAAGGAGAGCTTGGAATGCATTGAGCATAATGTGTGGGCAGGCTGCTTCGGTTGGGAGATTAGCGGCAAGTGAAATAGCAGTAGCAGCTTGAACACCTTCTTGGAATTTCTTGACAATGTCAGATTCAGTTAAGTCAAGAGCCTTAGCATCATAAACAATACCATTATCATAAACTACATCAATGACAGCTCCATATTTGAATGGATTAATCTTTAATTTTTGAAGAAGAACAGCTTGTGATACTCCAACTTTTTCTCCTTCTTTAATTAAAAGAGTTTCTGAAGTAATTTCAATTTGACCTTTAGTAATCTTTGATGCAATATTCAATGCTTGGACAAAGTTAGTTTGAGTTGGGTCAAGTCCTGTATCACCAGCTGGTACAATAACATCATTTGGTGCAATAACTCCAGCTTTAGCTGGTGATGGTGCTTTAAGTTCAGTAAGTTTAGCCTTTAATTGATAAAGATCACCTTTAGTGAAAATGAATCCAACATTACCTTTAATGTGTGGAAGAAGTTCTTCGAG